CTTCCTTCCTTCCTTCCTTCCTTCCTTCCTTCCTTCCTTCCTTCCTTTCTTCTTTCCTTCCTTCCTTTCTTTTTTCTTTCCTTTTCTTTCAAGAAACACTGCATTAGAGACAAAAGCAAATGTCCTTGAGCAGCCTGGGTAAGGGTGATGAGTCAATGAATGTGAGAAAGGGGAGCCTACTTCCCCTAATCAGGTGTCAGACTTCCCTAAGAGATGAATCCAGGCAAACCATAATGAGTGGGGAATGGCTCAAAACTGAGCTGCTGTGGCCTCAGCTAAGCATTGTCTTTGGCCTCTATGCTAGAATTTATACACTGGCACTTTAAGATTTATGAAGCCCTCTAATACATTTTTATCCAAGTCTCAAAATTGTTATGTGCAGACTATAGGGTATAGGATTGTAGGATCATATTTTTATCTCCTTCCAATAGGGAAGGGGAAGGGAATAAGCATTTATACAGCACCTACTGTGTGCTAGGCACTGTACTAAATGTTTTACAAATGCTATCTTATTTGATCCTTACAACAGCCCTCCAAGATACATACTATTATTTTCCTCATTTTAAAATTGAGGAAACTGAGACAAACAGAAGTTAAGTGACTTGCCCAGAATCTACAGCTTAGAAGCTCTGACACTAGAATTGAACTCAAGCCTCCCACTCTATCAGCTGTGGCACCTAGATAAAACTGCTGTTAATGAGTCACTTTGGTCATCTCTGACTCTTTGTGATCCCATTTAGGGTTTTCTTGGAAAAGATACTGGAGTGGTTTGCCATTTCTTTTTCCAGTTCATTTTACAGATGAGGAGTTGAGGCCAACAGGCTTAAGTGACTTGTCCAGGGTCACACAGCTACTAAATGTCTGAGGCCACATGTGAACTCGGGAAGATAAGTCTACCTTACTCCAGGCCTGGCACTCTATCCACTGTATCTCCTAGCTGCCCTCAGATAAAACTGAGGCTCAGATAAATTAAGTGACTTGTTCACAGTAGGAAGTTGCAGAATTAGAACCCAGCTCTTCCTGACTTTTAGTACTTTATCCATTATTCCATTTAATATTAAACTAAATATCATTATGGCATGCAATTTTAGAATATTAAGCCTATTTTCCTCCCTCTTTTGGCCAACAGCCCATAGAAGTGATTTTATTAATGTGAACACAATGTCCTGTTTGAATAAGACATACTTTGAAGCAAGGACTTTCATGAGTCCTTTCCAGCCAGTTTACTTGGCAATGATGTACTTATGGAACAAGACTGAGATACAACTATAGCTGAGCTAGGTGGCATGGTGGCAGGAGTGCTAGGCCTGAAGTTAGAATGACTTATTTTTCTAAGTTCAAGTCTGGCTTCCATCAACTTACTGTGTGACCTTGGGCAAATCATTTAATCCTTTTTGCCTCAGTTTTCTCATCTGTAAAATGAGCTGAAGAAGGAAATAACAAAGCACTCCGGGATCTTTGCCAAGAAAACTCCATGGACACTATTGATGTGCTATGGGTCACAGGGTCACAAAGAGTCTGACATGACTGAACAACTGTTTTTTTCAGCCAATCAACAGGCACCTGTTTCCACTTTTTTGCTACTATGAAAAGGGTATACAATATTTTTATAGGATCTTTCTGCCTTTGACCTCCTCAGTACTTATAGCCAATTATCCAGCAGGGCAAAGGACACATGGTTTGGGTCATTTTTTTCTCACCTAATTCCAAACTTTCCCATAACTGGTAGACTAAACTTACAGCTTCTCCAGCTGCACTGAAGTATGTCCTCCTACTACTCCCTCCACTCCCAATAAGGTCCCTATGTTGTATCATTAGGCCATTATGAGGCCATACCTTTTCTATTATTTGCTACTATTCTGATCTGGAAGGTGAATGCTCTATCTCTGGGTCCCATCTAGTTTGGGTTCATAAGGTCTACATTCTTTTAC